AAAACTTATTTTACAGTAGGCCATTTTTGTAATGTTTTTTTGTTTGTAGAATTTTATACAATTGTTTTTAAATTTGAGAAATATATGAATTTTTAGATAAATTTCTAGTAACAAAGTAACTTTTTTTTTTAAATAGTTATGCTTAAAATATATATTAAAAAGAATAACTTTAAACATCCCCAATTTAATATTTACTTTGATATGCTAATGAAATTAGAATATCAAAGTGTTATTAAATATGCATAAAATTATATTTCTATCAATGTGATGCTCTGCTTAAATTGAGGCTTTTTTGTAATTTCATCCAACATTTTTAGCTGATTCTATACATTCTATGAATCATAACAGCATTTGTTATTTCTGCTATAAATTTTCAATGTTGTTCTTCTGCGAAACATTTTAACTTACTTTATATTATTCATCATTCTTACATATAAGCCAAACTTGTACAACTAGTATTTGGTTGGACAAAAATACTATTCTTTATTGTTAGATAACATTTAGTTTTAATTACTTTAAAAAAAGATTGTTTATATATATATATATATATATATATATATATATATATATATATATGCGACATCTACTTTTTAAAAAAAAGTATTTTTATTGATTCTAATATTGGAGATTAGAAGAAAATTAGTGATGTATTCAACACGCTCTTTTTTTTTTTAGTGAATCAAATACAAAATTATATGATTTTTGATAAAACATGTCAAAAGGAATTTGTGAAATTTTGTGCTGGGGATTTAGTGTTGAGCATCAACACTAAATCCCCAGAACCTGTTATATGAGATAGCTAACATATTTAAAGCATCAAAATCAAGCATTGAATAAGATCTACAACTACGTATTTAATAATATATGTTTAAATAATGATCTTCTGCCCTAACACACGGTGTGTGTGTGTGTGTGTATATATATATATATATATATATATATATATATATATATATATATATATATATATACACACGCACAATGCATGCAGTGTGTTAGGGCAAAAAAAAAAATTAGAATACTATTAATCACATGACAATAACACAAAACCTAAATATTTTAAATATATATATATATATATATATATATAAAAACACTCACTGTTAGAAAGGTTTTTTGAAAATATAATAGAAAACAAAGCAAATATTAAGAAGTTACTGAATATATATACTTAATTATTTTATGTTACTGACTGAACAAATATTAAACTAAAACTATGACAAGAAAAATTGTTATACCTTTTAGTTATAAGTTTGAAAACAAAACCTAAGGGAGGTAAATTCAGTAAATATTACAATTATTTAAATCATTGTCATTTGTAGTTACTAATTACATCTGAATTATTTTGCTCAATGAGATTATATATTTTACACACACACACACACACACACACACACACACACACAATATTATTTAAAAATAGGTCTTCATTGCAACACAGAAATTACTGTTTCAGAATTAAAAGTTATAATTTTTGTTCCATTTTCAAGTGATGTTGAATAACTTCAGAAAAAATGATTTACTTTAAGCAAAGTAAATTAGGGTGATGAGATTTCAAAATTTCAAATAGGTGTTGTCTATTTTGATGAATCAGGGAACAGGTCAAATCTAAGATGGAAAAGTGAAAAATGTAGGTGAAAAGTTTTGGTGTGGATATGTAATTTCTGATTTTTCTGATACGGGTTTTCATGTATGAAACATGTCATCCTGTCTATCTTTTTGGGAACATATATAAGGTACTTTAAAATACAAGGAGTTATTTGTATCGAACCATGGGTTAATTTTGGTATTTTTATTTCTTTCCCAAATGCATTGGGGCTGTTTTAAAGGGGCTTCAAATATGATTAAATCATATTTTATATATTTATATTTTTAATTATAAAGATCTAAAATGCTATATTTATTATATTAAAATGGTACATTAGGTATAGCATTGTTAAAATTAAAATTTACTAATTAAGTACACTTTTTTTCTTTTTTTTTTTTTTTTTAATTGTAACCAAATAATGAATATATAAATCATGAAAGTTTTATTAATTATGTTTTAAAGTGAACATAATGCAATGCCTACAAAAACTTAATTTCTTTTCATTGATTTAATAAACCTTTATTTTTAAGAAACTTAATAATATATAACTTTTCATGTAGGCACATTTATAGACCTACAAATCTGTTTTGTTTTTTTTTTTTCTTTAAAAATAATTTCCATTTTACTCGGTTGGGGAGGGGGTTACTAGTTTATTTTAAATGCCAAAAATATTTAGATAGGGATATTTGGTTACAATACTCATTGTTTTTGAAGGAAGACAGGTGCTGTTACCATCTTAAATTAAAAGCATTTTTAGTGCTACCAATATAATTTTTTTTAATATTTAGATTTTCAATAGATGAAATAGTACACTGGTAAACTAAAAATTCTGTAAGACACTTATTATTCAATGGACAATTTATGGTATTCCTACAGTTACATAATTTTTTTCATTACTATTATTTATTCTCATTTCTGAACCACTATCTTTTTTTATTCTGGTTTAAAGTTTTATTATTGAGTTTTTTTTGTTTTTTTTAATAAATTTTCAGTACAACTATAACCTAATTTTAGGGCATTTTAATTGAAAATCTTGCTAAGAGGATTATTTCTTGGAAAATGTTTTTCAATGAAAGCAAGAAATTTTTGTCCTAACCTACTAATTATTTTGTTAAATGGAGGTGTGTACCAAATGATTTTTCTATTTCTTATCTGGTTATTTTTATATTTAATGTCAGGGCATTTATAGCCACTATTCTTTAAAGCTTTATTATAAAAATTACAATGTTATAATTTTACACGCACACATTTATATATACACAAGAAAAATACTTATCTTACATTGACTGTAGAACTCAGTTTCATGTGTTCTGCATCCAGGAGGTGCAATTTTGAATGCAGAAATTATGAAACTGAGTTGTGCAATCATTGTAAGATATTATGTATATTTTTTAATATATTAAATAACTGTTATTTAACATTGAGCACTGTCTTTTCTTACAATATAGAGTGTGTGTACACACACACATCGTAAAAGCATGAAACCCGGGGTCACAAACTAATATCCATACAACTGAATATGAGTTAGCTCATTCACTGATATTGAGTGCTTTCCACTAAGTACAGCTGTGTTGATGTATTTGACAAAGTGATGACAGCTCTAATGTTGTTCTACAGAGACTTTATCTGTACAATAGATAAGAAAATAACATGAGCACCATTTTCATTTAATTTAAGCAAGTAATTTTAAAAATTTAGGAAAATATTTTCCATAATCTAATGCTTTATTGAAATTTTGGCTTTAAATTTACTATAGCTATCACTTTTATTTTCTGATAATGTTGAGTATGTTTGCCTGTACTTACAAAAAAAGAAAAAAAAAAGAAAAAAAAGAAAAAAAGGCACACAGACGTTCCAAAATTATGATATGTTAAGCCATAAATTATACTAATGTTGCTTAACAAGTCAATTGCATGAGGCCTGATTAACCAATGAAAATCAAACAATGCAAAAGTAGAAATACCAGAATTCCATTCTTTTTTCTTCATATCTCATTCTGTGATGAAGCTTGTATTTTCAACTAGTATGTTTCAGATGGAGTCTGGTAGGCTTGTGTGTGCCTGTTTAAATGAGTTCTAATGGAGCTGTGGTTGGATAGGTGTAACATAAGTTGTCTAGATAGGCATGTAGTAATGTTACCGATGTAATTATTTATGAGTTTGGTTTGATCAGGAACACACATCCTCAAGAGGCATTTGAACTCATAAAATTTGTTCTATATAGATTTGATTTTGCAGGCATGTTGTTAGAAAATACAAGCATATTAACCTCATTCATATGTAAAGAAAGATTAAAAACAATGGAAGCCTTAATAATAAAAAAGAAAACGCCAACACTTGATATTAACTATGAACATGGCCATAATGTGCTGTGTTTTGGAAAAAAAAATCCCCTATAACTGTAGATACATAGGCATAATCCATACATCCAGTTAAAAAGTAAAAATATAATCATCCTTGATAATGGCTAAAAGTATAAGCAAAAGTGCTCAGAATTACAAAACATTTGGACAGTTTCTACACACTGTGCCCAGAAAAGAAAACACTTGTTCAAACTCAAGAAAAATTAAATAAAAAGCTTAATTGCAATACTTTGCCTGCCGTTTTTAACAAAACAGACTAAACACATCAAAAGTTCAATGGGATTTGAAAGAAGTAATTTATGAAGTCCTTTTGAAAAAACCAAATGATTGATTAGAACACTGCTCAAAATTAGAACAACTGAAAATAGTAATCACTAAAACAACTGGAATTGGTAAAGAGAAAGTATACATATATGATGCTAGATTAGATGTTTCTTTAGTAACTATTACTACTTCTTTGAAAAGTTTTCATTCATTTACAGTATTCATCAGATACCTTACCTTTGGATCACCAAATAATCTGAATCTTTCAGAGATTTCTTATTAGGGGAGTAGGGTTGTGAGAATCCTTATAATACTACAAATGGTACCCAGAGCAGTTACTCATTTAGACAGCAGGGAATTATAAAGTTATCTGAATAATGGCAGGAGTTAATAATTCTGTTTTAATAAAGTTAATGTGAAAAAAAAAAAAAAAAAAATTTTTTTTTAACACTTAATATCAATAATATGACATTTTACTTTCCAAAGACTTACCAATCTTGTTAGTTGCGCTAATTTATTATGGAGGAAAAGAAGATTTATTAAATTATTGTACTAAAATTAACTGAAAGACAAGGGACATCAGAGGATATTTGTATACCATGATTAGTGATAGGTAAAATGCATTCACAAAATATTTACATCAATGCCAATGTTTTCCTTTTAGAAGCATGCATCTTATCAAATGCTGTAAAATACATTTAGACTTTAGTCTGGAACTTCCCTTATGTATTAATTAGAATGCATTTAGCAGAAAAAAAAAAAATTAAGAAAAGTAAGTGTATTTACCTTTCTTCTAATTCCTTGTTTTCCATGGTGATTTCACATGGTCTGTAAAGACAATCAAGGAGGAAATGCAATATGTAACATGCCAAAGCCAAACAAAATTGTCAGTACAAAGCCATTCATGAAAAATCTGCAGGATACGAATTGTTAAATTTTTTTTTAAATCCCAAATTTTTAATTGAGGAAATTTGCTTTCTGAGGATCAAGTTTGAAGCCAGAAATATATATCTTAGTAGATGTTTGAGAATTTAATGCTTTTCATGCAACATTCTCAAAATGACAAGACAACAGTACCACCATTTGTAAACCATTTAAAAGCACCTATGATAGACAGGAAAAAGTTGGCAAGCAATATAATTTGTGTAGATTAGAGAAACATTAAAATTCATATTAGGCACCTCCAAAAATTCACTGAAAGAGGAGAAAAAAACAAAACAAAACAAAATTTTACTGTCAAAATCTTTGTAGTGTTAAGATGAAAGCTCAAAGGATTTTTTTTCATGTGTAAAAAAAACAAAAACAAAAAAACAAAAAACCCTTTTATAACCTTGGAAATTTTGGTTAAAAATCATGTTTTTCTGGCATCAACATATAACCATAAATTTGTATGAGAAATTTAAGTATCTATTTGGAGTGAAAACATTGATTTAGAAAAATCGGATAATTGTTGGGTTTTAATGAAACTTGGACTTATTCAGAAATGAATGAAATTATTTTTTAAACATTTTTTTGCTACTCCCCACTCATTTAAATTCAATAAATTCTTTTTTTATTGCTTTTTTTTTTTTAATGTTTATATTAGTTACAAGGACAAGTCCTCATAGGATTTAAATCATCAAATCAATTTTGATCAAACAGGACTCCAGTTAGAGAATACCTGTTCTGAATTGTGAAATAAAAAAATGCAGTAAAACTAAGATTATTTAATTAGAAAAGCATTTAATTACTTTTATGAATATATTATGGACACTACTGTATTAAGAAAACATTTGGTGGGGGAATAATGAACTTTTATTGGTCAAGTGATAGTTAAATTAAAGATATTTCCTAATCATAAATTAAAAAGATTACTATAATTTAACAACCCCAGTATTAAAAAAAAAAAAAAAAAAAATAATTTTATATGTGTATAAACATATTGATGCCTGTAAAAATGGATGCCTATACATGATATTAACATTAAAGAGCGGTAACTATAGTAAATTTAAAATTTATTGGACCTTTTCTAACATTTCGCCAACAAACATCTTCATAGGTAAAACTATAGCCAAATTACCCAAAATTCAATAAATTAGAATTTTTTTTTTTTTAAGGATTACTGGGTAGTTAAATTTTATTTTGTTTGATGTGAGCAGTTGCTGGATGACGGTCAGGTGATATATATATATATATAAATAAAAAAATCACCTTACCGTCACCCATAAGGTTTTTTTTGTGTCCTTATAATTTTTGTAAATATGACCCCATCAAAGTGCAAGAATTATCCTTTCATTTGCTTTTCTTTCGTAAAACAAATGCTAGTCAATAACATTTTTCCAGATTGCTTTGTAGATCACCAAATTAGACTTTTTCTAAGTTAACCAATAGCAACACTGACTATACAGATAACATTAACATTTTCTATAAAAATCAAATGCACAGTAACTATAAGGAGGATGAATCTTACCATAGAAATATACCAAGTGCAATTGCCAAAAACAAGAAAATTAATTTATCTACTATAAAAAACTAAACATCATCAATAATAATAATTCACCTGTAAGACCCAACATTACACAGAGAACAAATATTATTTATGAATTCACATGTCTTAAGAAACTGTATTCCTGATCAAATCAAAATTCATAGATAATTATATTGGATACACTACAACATGCCTAAGAAGATGACTCACATTACATCTCAATTAGGTTTCATTTAAACACACATGGAGACTTACCAAACAATCTGCAACATACTTGTTGATAATACAAATATAATAGCCTCATCCACAAGTAAAAAAAGACGAAAAGTAATGGAAGCATTAATAAAAAAAGAAAAGGCCAACATTCAACAATATCAACTATGAACACGACCACAATGTGCTGACCATGTTTGGAATATAAAACAATCCATGCATTCAGTTAAAAGTAAAAATGAAATCATCTTTGAAAATGGCTAAGAGTATAGTTGAAACTTGGACATACAGAACATTTGAACAATTTCTATATAATTTATGTCCAGAAAAAAAAGAAAATTACAAGAACACAAAAAAAAAAAATTAAATAGAAAGAAATTTAACCACAGTACCTTGTCAGTCATTTTTTAATGAAACTTGTACAAAAGCGGGATTGCTACCCAAATACACAATTTTTTGTGTGTGTGCGCATGTATATGTGTAAAACTTATCTTGACTTTTGAGTTAGCAGTGAAACAGGGTTTCATTCTTTAATATTTGATTGCAAAAGTTTCATAGGTGGTAGTCAGAAACACAAATTTTCCCCCCTCTCTTTCTTCTAGCACCTTGTGTCTACCAGGTGATAATATAGGAGAGGCATATCTATGAATGTAAATCGTTTCATTTATTTATCCATATTTAGTTTTAACTTAGTATAATTTGACTGCGCTCATATTTCAGTGATGAATCCAGTTAAAGTGCATTTCAAGGTAGTATTAAAAGTTAAGTTTCAGATATAACCTTTGAACAAGTCCTGGTTCAGCATTTTAAGTTAAGTATTGTCTTGGATTATCATCCCAGAATTTATTTTCAAAATGTCTGATCAATGGCATTCCAGTCTTGAACATTTTAGCTACTTCATTTAACTCTCTTTTTAATATTCTTTCTTTCTTTCCTTCTCCCTTATTTGGACTTTTGAGACAGTGGTGCTAACCTATCCTGTGTGTCACAAAACAACATAATCCCTGCCCTTCTCAAAAGTAGAAGAACTGAGAAAAGTGGACAACTTATACTTTAAATAAAAATTACACAAAATCCTCAGGGTGATAAATTCTAATCTGTACAAAGTAAAATTCACAGAAATTCAAAGTAGAATTTAACATAGTGTTAAAAGTTAAGTGTCAGATACCTCTGAGAGAGAGTCTTTGAACAAGTCATTAATTCTTGGGACATGGAATATTACAACATTAAAACACCTGAACAGTTAGAAAATATAAAACAGGAAATGAGCAGGATAAATATCAATGTTTAAGGTGTATGCAAAATGTGATGGGCAAACAATGGAGATTTTATCAGTGACAAACACAGGATTATATATGCAGACAGAGAGAAAAATAAAAGAGGAGTAGGATTGATACAAGATACAAAAATGCTGGCAACCTTAGATGATTTAAGCATAGACATAGAAATAATAAATGAAATCTACAACAATGGTGATATACCAAAAGACCTAAATAGATCTATTTTCATAGCACTGTATTAGAAGCCAGGTCCAAATGAACGGAATACCACTGGACAATCAGCCTAATGAGTCATATAACAAAAACTTATCTGAATTCTAATGAATAGAGCATGCAGCAGAATCAGACTGGAAATAGGACAGGATCAGTGTGGGTCCATCAAAGACACTGGAACAAAGAATGCTCAGAATGTTATTAGAAAGGGCAATACAAAATACAGAAGGATGTGTATCTGTGTTTTGTAGATTATGTAAAAGCATTCAATAAAGTATACCACAAAGATCTGTTGGAACTGCTCAGCAACTTTGGTATATTTGGGAAAAGATATTACAATAATCAAGGACCTATAATGGCAGCATATGGATAGAAAATTCAGCAAACATAGCAGTGTTCAGAAGATATATACAAAAATAGAAAGGGTGTAAGACAAGGATGTGTCTGCTTACCGAATTTGTTCAACCTATACAGTGAAGTAATTCTGAGTGAATTAGAAGTCCTACCAGGATTCATTATTGGTGGCCACAGTCTCAACATATGTTATGCAGATGACAGTGCTGATAGCAGTCTTGGAAAGAAAACTACAAAAATTCCTATAGAAGGTTTTTTTTTTTTTTTTTTTTTTTCTTTCTTGTGCCTTAATGTTATGTTATTCTTATTTTCTTTCACACTCAGTAACCCCATGCTTCTTATTTGCATTGCATGGGGTGAAATGATTAAAATAAAATAAATAAAAATCATTTTGGCTATCAGCCATCCCAAATTAATTTTTTTTTAATATATCTAAAATCTTAAGAGATATAGAGAGCTCAACAAAATGAAAACAAATAGGAGTAAATTTATCTTTGTAACTCAATTAGCAACCAAGTTATGACCATTTAAGGTTTGTCAGAAAATTTCTGTCTCATATGCTATTGTGACAAGCCAAATTTAAGTGTATAACTAAAGATGCAGACTTGGAACAAGTGAAAACTCATTGTAAATGTAATGTCATATAGGTAATCTTAAAGTAAAAGAAAGATAATACTAAAGGAATTAATAATTATTAGATCAAACCAGCTGAAACATTGGGAAAAACATTCTCAGAAATGACATTGAAGAACAATGTTGACTGATCATGTTTCATTTCAACAGTTAATGCCTTGCAACTTCTTACTATGATTTATAGCACAACAGAGATGAAGATAATTTTTTTTAAGTAATACATCAATAAAAAACTCATTTACATAATGTAAATATCAACCAGAATCATAATCTGACTTATAGGGCAAAAACATGTCTAAAGTATACTTTACTGAATTTGCCATAAAAAAAGTATTTATTGGAAGTACAAGCTAGAACCTTTACTAATTTTGTGAACTTGTCAAAAAATGGACAGTAATAACTACAAAACTTATAAATTTGTTCCATGAAATGAATTACTGGTCAATCCATCAAATAAATACTTATTGTAAAGTTTTAAACTCATTTATTTTCAGACTAAAAATTTTATTTTCAATATATCTAAAAACCTTTAATACAAGCTTATGCTTGGCACACCATAAAAAAAGTACCAAATTTATCTTGGTAGCTCAATCAGCATCAAAGTTATGACTATTCAAATATTATTCCAACAATTCAGTCAAAATGCTTTCAT